CGTCACTGTATAGCCAAGATTTCGTCACTGTATAGCCAAGATTTCGTCACTGTAAAGCCAAGATTTCATCACTGTATAGCCAAGATTTCGTCTCTGTATAGCCAAGATTTCGTCTCTGTATAGCCAAGATTTCGTCTCTGTATAGCCAAGATTTCGTCTCTGTATAGCCAAGATTTCATCACTGTATAGTCAAGATTTCATCTCTATGTAGTCAAGATTTCATCTCTATATAGCCATGATTTTATTCAAGATTATATCAGTGTTTTACTAGGAATTCTTTCAACTATGGCCTAGATTTCATCAAGGTGCAAATGAAAGCTAACCATTTTGTAGCCCACAATTTATCCAAACCAGTGAGAAATGTCTTTCAACAAAGATTGATTGAAAATATATTATATCTTTAAGTCTCTAAGACTTTTTATAACTTCCTAAAATTGTACTTCTTTTATTGATAGGCAAAGTATGGCAGGCAAAGGAAGATGCAAAACCAATCATCAATGACGATGGAGAAGAAGAAATTATACTGAGTGAAGAATGGGAGGATGCCTTAACAACTGCTACAGAAGATGAACTAGTAGAATTAGCAGGTTAGTAATGTTTGATTTGCATGTACCGTAATTAAAATATTTATCATTTTAATAGAAGTAGTACATGTTAGTCATAATAGATATTGACTGGTTGGTTCATAGGACAGTTGATTGTGTTAATACAGACCTGGTTTGTTCATGGTACATTATTGTTAATGATAATCATTCAGATCTGTTGGTATAAACTAGTCATCATAGGTAATATGTGGTTAGTTTATGATATAATAATATATATTTATTTACCCATAATAAATATATTTGACTAGTTGGTATAGTAAATTGTTTTAATAAATGTCAGTGATAATGAGCCAGGTTGATTGGTATAAATTAGTCTTGATAGGTATTATGTGGTTAGTTATGATAAAGCTGATTACAATATATAAGGTTGTTGATACCAGTAACAACTAGCTAAGCTGAAAATACTTAAATGCATGATTAAATAATTTTTTTTTAGCCGTACTTGGCTTACACAGTATGTTGAATCAGGTCCAGTATCAAGCGTCCATTGTTGATAAGAAAGTGAGCGACATTGATGAAGAATCTGGAAAGTTCCATGGTATGTAAAGTATTTTATTTTATTTTTATTTTTTTACACCAATGAATCTTCTACTTGTATCGGCAAATCTTCTCTCGTGGCAATTATTGACAATTTGACTTTTGACTTGTTGAAAACCACATGACCGATTACTTTATTATACATATAGGTACCTCATGTAGACCAATTTTGTGATGATATCTTCAATTCTCTAATTTTGATGAATATTTTTGGTAAAAAGTGATATTTTCGATTCCTTGTTGAAAACCAAAATGACGATTACTTTGATATTACTAGTATACATATAGTACCTCATGTGGGGTGATCTCAGATTTGTTTATTTTGTGATATCTTCAATTCTCTAATTAAAGTGTGCGTTGCTAACAGCGGGGCTGAGAGGCTGCTTGTTTTTCAATTATTTCATTGCTTATGTTTGACCAAGTGGGCATACTTACTATCTACTATCGACACAATCAACTCATTCCTTTCATCTTAATAAATGTTTATAAATTTTGAATAAAATTTTAACGTGTTTGATGGTGTAGCTGCACACTGCACTGATTGGCGGGTTGGATTTAACTGTTACTGAAATATATATTGATGATGAAGATGAAGAAACGGGTTTGTTGGCGTTCAAAGGATAAACAGTTACTACTTCACAAAAATGAAACAATGATGCAAACCAAGTTAGATAACATATTTTACAAATTTCAGTGAAACATATTTTTGTGACTTTTTTTACATGTTTTTCTTGTTTCTAGGTGTTGCTAAGTATGCCGTTCCAAAACTTCTTCCACAAGAGCCACCAAATGATACAGATGTAGAAAAAGGTGTAAAACAAGTAAAAGATAATGATCCTGAGTTGAAAGATTTAAATCTTAATAACATAAAGGTGAGACTGCTCTAGAAAAAGATGAGGTGGTTTTATAACATTTTTATGAAAAATGCATTAGTATTGTTGCATGTAGTTCTGGAATTAATTTTCACTGAAGACTTTTTTGGTGTTTTGTATGGGGTTTATTTTCACTGATGAATTGAATGTAAAATATAGGAAAAAATTTATAATCTCTGGATTTTATTTTCACTGAATTATCCTTCAGCGAAAATAGCAAAAATGAAGTATTTTACAGTAGCATCTGAGAATTTTCACGATTTGGCGATTTTATGGCATTTATGAAGACAACATTTTGCGAAAATCACTCACCAAAGACACTGATGAGGAGGTAATGCGAGTGGTAGAAGATAAAATAACAACATTCAATGCTGTGGATATTAAACAAGCACGTATTTGTTACTGTATATATGGCCAAACAATATACGGGCAACAGTGTCACAGCAGATCGCGACCTAGTGCGGATCAGAAAGTGACGCTTGTTCTCAGTTATTTGCATGCTGGTTGGCAAAAATGTTTTTAAAAAAACGTCAGTGTAACCGATGGTCTATAAGTAATGTAGCGTAAACCCCTTTAATTTGGTAAGAAGCAAATTTTGATGAATATTGCTAGTCAGTGAAAACCACGAACATTTTGCTACAACATTCTGTAACTTTCATGAATGTTGTATTAAAATCACGAAAATTCTTAGCAGTGAAAATTTCTGAGTTGTATAACCAGACGAATCATGATTTTATTTTGTTATACCGACATGTATACTTTGTATGTTTAAAATATTTTAGTGTTGGTTTTGTTGTACATTCACAATTTATAATTTTGAGGATCTGTTCAATCTCAAAATCTATTCATCAATAGTCATTTATACTGCCCCACATTAGTGCATTTGAAAATATTATTTCACAATTTCGTTATCAAGCAGTAAACCATTTGCTTGGTGTGGTATCAAGTGTATTTACAGACACATAACACATATAAGGAAACACTGAATGAAAAACATTAACGACGTGTGAATTATTACCAGAAAGAGATTGATTTTAGCCATAGTTTATCAGTAGCCGCCAAACCTGTATGAAATCTTGAAGACAGTGTTGTGTTCTAATATGATTTTTTCTTGATTACAGAATATTGCTATTCCAACTCTGACAGACTTAGCTGAGGGTTTGAAGCAGAATACTAACTTAGTTAAACTAAGTTTGTCCAATACCAGATTAACTGATGCTGTAGCATTGGTAAGTCGCATTATTTTTACAATAGTTCATGTAATTTACGTAAATTTTTAGTTGAGCAAGAGAACACTTCCTCACTAGTCAATGCACAGTTAAGAATATGTCATTTTAAAAACGTGTAATATGCCAAATATAAATGTTTCTATTTAATTCAGCAATTAATCATTTAGTGTTAAAAGTTGTATTTTTCTGGGAAGGATTTGCAAAAATGCTGAAAAAATAATTTACCCTAACGCAAATACAGCTGTTCGTCGTTTGATGCAAATGTCCATCTTGCCCTTATACAATGCTGGGTACAATCATTCCAAAGTCGCACATGTTTGTATTTTGAATGACTGAGGTCTCAGACAAATGGGACTTCTTACTGTCTTTTAATTTCAATTTTAGTAAAAATTAATATTCCATGGTATTTATTTTACAGAAAATTGCTGAAGCACTATCAGAAAACAAAAGTTTGAAAATTTTAAATTTGGAATCAAATTTTATCAGTGGAAAATCAATCATAGCTATTATGGAATCTGTGGCTACAAATACCTCACTTCTTGAGCTTAGGATAGCCAATCAGGTGAGTTTGAAGCAGATCTGTATAAGGTAGCTAATAGTTTTACACTTTTTCAGGAATCTCCTTCTCATATTCAGTGAGAACAACTGTCAAGACAGTGGCTGGAGACTGGTATAAACATTTTAAGAATTATTCTTGGAGTGAAGTAATTCCCACCAAATATGCGCTATTAAGAGATTAATTAATAAGGACTTGCTAAAAAGTAGGCCTCTAGGGACTAGAGTTGTCTGACTATATTCCTATCATAATTATTTCATTTCCCTATCCTCCAAGACACATGAAATAAATAAATGAATGATGATATGTGTTGGTGTTCATCTTCTGGTAGGATTTGAGCTCTGATCCTACTGTAAAACAATGTATTTTCACTTACATTTAATTTCATTATTTTAATGTTTTGAGCATATTCACTGTGTTTTAATTCCACAAATTTGTCAAAGAAACAGTGAGTTTTACTGTTATTTTACATGTTCACATAGATTAATTTAGAGGATTTTACTTATCGGTGAAAATAGTGAAATTAAAAACCAGTGAATAATTAATGCATCTACAGTAGTTTATACATTCAAGAAAAGTAAAGACAAAAGTCCATTCTTGGTTGATCGTGAATATAATGCTTTGAGCTGTGTACCATAAATGAATGTATGTTGTAATTTCAGAGAGGAGTTCTTGGCAACAAAGTGGAAATGGAAATTGCAAAAGCACTGGAAGAAAATAAAACATTGCTAAAATTTGGTCTTGCGTTTGAGAGAGCTGGTCCCAGGACAAGAGCTCATGATGCTCTTTTAAGGAATCTGGAATTTGGTAAGTGTACCAATACTCACAACAAGCACGTCTTTGTCTATATTATTGCTGCAATTAACCACTTAAAGTGCCTGTGCAATGCCCACCCACACGCTTCCCATTTTAGATCTGTGCCCAACTGAAATGGGCAATTATTGATTTTTTTGGCTGAAAATGATTACTCGTATCCAAGTAAATTTAAGATATTTCCCGTGCTGTAGCCACGCCCACCTATCCTGAAACGGTCGACTGTTTCCGGACTTCCAACTCTCGCCGAAAGTGTGCCACCGAATGCAAAAATATGAGAGGAAGCCCTACCCCTGGGCCGTACTTTTATATCACTGTGTCATTCAACGTACAACTGTACTTTTAAACGATATACATTTTTTAATCAGCGTTTCTTTTGTCTATTTAATTTTATTTTTGAGAGCGAATTTTTAGAAGTTGTTTTCACAACAAACTTTTATGATGGTTAAACATTGTGTTGTGGGCGGTTGCAGTAATGCGTATAGTCATAGTGTAAGTATTTACACGTTTCCAATCGATCTGAAGGTGCCAAATTGGTGAACGAAAGCCGTGAAAATAACGAGAAAAAGTTGGGGTGGACTTCCTCCTAACAGCGTCTGTCCTTGTCCATGACAAAACAACTAGGTTTTAACGAGAAACGCCGACAATACAAAACGCTTTCGAAAAAATAGATTCCGGACCAGCCCATGATCACCGAGACGGATTTCAGAAGGGAGAGAGAAGTCGAGTATGTGTTTCAAATGATTTGATTTTTTTTGCGATCCTGATTATCGCTTTATAGAGACCACCCGTGTTATGTAAAAGGTAGCAGTAATTTTGATAATGACGTGAAAACGAAGCGTCGGACAAACAGGAAATTACGCAGCCCTCAGGCTGTTTTCATTTTCGCAGGCTAAAAGTGTCTGAATTGTTCGGTTATTGGTGTTGAATGTCGAATTCACACCTTTGTTGCCTTTACTTGTACCTTGATCGGTGTAATAATTTACGGAATAAGAATCCGGGCTTGAGCTGTCAATGTATTTTTTTAATATGATGTCATAATCATGAAAATCACGCTAAATCCACTCTGAATTTGTCTGTATGTGAGTCGCTCTCAATTATTTTTGTTATCCAATTAAACGCTGCCATTCACGCACTTGTCCCCCTCATGACCCGACGCGTTCACCCATTACAACGCGGCAGTCATTTATTTAGTAACTGTGTTTTGACGTTTTTTTAAAATTATTTCTCTATTTTATAAATCAATAGTGTCTAGTAACCTGCTAAATAACAAGACGATTCAGGCGTCAAATTTGATTTTGTCCAATGCCAGAGTCCAGCGACAGTGTACAAACGTGCTCCAGTCACAGTGACGACCATGGTGAATAGCTACACCAGACCGGACATATTTCGCATCTGACTCAACCCCATGCAACAAACTTGATACTATGTGTTCATTATGGTCCATTTTCCTCGACGAACAAGTACATAAGTGACAATTTAGTCAAAGACGAGAAAACAGCACAAGAAATTTGCCTTATTTACACGTATCGGCAATGCAAGCTACCCAGCGACTTCCCCTTCTGACGTCACAAGGGGAATTTCTGTATGCAAATGAGAAGCTAATGAGGAGCCTCGTTTTAAAACACACAAAAATAAAGTTTCCGTAGACTGAGTTTAAAACACATTATTTCACTTAAAAAAAAATTATTTATGCTTAGAAACATAAAAATTAGTAATATTAATGTATCAATGGATAATTTTAGGTGTGAAAACAGCAGCCATTTCACAGGCACTTTAAAGCGCAATGGTCTTCGTGCTGTGCATGTGCGACATTTGTGTTGATAAACGTTGATTTTCCCACAATCCAATTCGCTCTTCAAATGGAAATCACAAGTTTGATCTAGGCGCGACTTGCCCTGATTACCACTGCTGACTCTTCGATACCTTCAAATCATGTAGAAATTACCCAATTAAAGCTTGGAAACATCTCAGTTTGTACTCATTGATCTGCGCAACAGTCAAAGTCGCCATCTTTGTTTATATGGGACCCATATATCTTGCGCATACATGGCGTGACGACTACCTCCATTTAAACTTGTCAATATTTTACTGCAATTACCCACCTAACTGTTTAGTTAATATTAATTAGTGCTTAAGTATTCATTTCTTAAATTTTCAAGATTTTGAAAGTCATAACAGTTAGTCTTGTTTTTTTCTTAACAGCTCGTAAACAACGTAGTAAAGTTGAAGATGACGAAGGGGAAAAGTAAACAATCAAAAACTGAGGAAAGACAGATATTGCTGCAAATCGTAGATCATACGTAATCTGTAATGTCAGCAATCATAGCAACTCATCCAAAAATTGTATTGTATTTTATTTTGAAGTAAAATATTATTTTACCTGTATATTTTTATTATGTCTGAAATAGGCTTGCTCACCACACGCCAGAATTATTGTTGCTTAATGTAGCCTTGGGCCACAGTTATTGCTGCAATAATATGACCATGGCCTCACAAATACACGTTCTCAGATTTTATTTTAAATAAATTTAGAGGTAGGATCTAACTCTGATATTGAACAATTATACGAACATTGATTATGACATTTTAATGAATCCTAAAACTGATAGCACAAGAAAATATGCTGCTAAAGTAGGATCAAAATTTTGGAATTGTCACACACTTGTGTCAAAATGATAGACAGAAGAATGATCATTTCAAATACACATTGCCACCATGATTTTTATAAAAATTGTGTCACATATACATGATTGGTGCATATAAATACTGATTTGCAAATAACATGTGATTGGTGCATATATACACTAATTTGCATGTCAGCACGTGATTGGTGCATTTATGTACTGATTTGCATGTGAACATGTGATTGGTGCATACATGTGCTGATTTGCATGTCAACATGTGATTGGTGCCATATATACACTAATTTGCATGTCAGCACGTGATTGGTGCATTTATTTACTGATTTGCATGTCAACCTTTAATTGGTGCATACATGTGCTGATTGGCATGTCAACATGTGATTGGTGCATTATTTACTGGTTTTTCTGCAAATCTAATTGCTGCACACATAAATATGTGGTTAGTACAATAATTTGGTGTACATATACAATAAGATTGCATACAACCTTTGGTAAAAATATATACTGAATTGCATACAAAATTCCTTTGATCCAAATATGTTTTGTCTACAGATTTGCATACACATATACTAATTTGCATAAAACCTTCTGATTGGTGCAACATGTGTATTGGTGCATTTTTTACTGATTAATGTAGCCAATAATAGTTGCATGTGTGCCCTGTATATTATTTTGCATCAAGATGTGTTTTAGTTTTATTAAATTTACATTTTACTTAATAATGACGAAAAGTTATGCTAGAGTGAATGTATGCTTCTTTTCATATCTATTCATGCAAATTTTTAGCTAAATATTGATAGATGTAGTATTTTTAAGAAATTTTTAAACTTGTTACTCTTGTCGGGTTCCATGCACATTTGTCTTTCAGTCTGATTGGTTCAATAACTGCACTTGTACCTAAGGCATCATTGATGTCTATAAAAATAGACTAGTTTACATTCCCTGTGAGATCCTGTGTTATGATGGAAATGTACCAGTAAAAACCAAACAAACAAAGGTCATAGTTGTGTCAAAACATCCCAAAAATATTTTAGAATTTCCACGACAAAAGTTTGATGAAGTTAAAGGCATCTTAATTCTTGAAAGCATTTTGACAAATGTTCGGTCGTGCATCTTTCATGCATTGGGCGAGATTCAGAAGGGAACAGAAAAACATCTATTAGTAAATTTAGTGCAAGCACCAGACAAACTAGGTGTCGACAACCATTGTGTAAATATTGTTTTTTTTTAAATTATAAATAAAAACTTGCTTAATGCGAAGGACTTGATATGTGCATCCTGGGCTCATTGGACAATGCTATTCAAGATTGTGCAATATCCCATATCATATTTTCTCTATTAGAAGCGCACATCTTACCAAAACAGTTTATGTAGTAAATAACATTATTGAAATGAGATTGTCCTTATTAGATGGTGCTTGTAATAGAGTAGATATGGTATAAATTTACCATCATATTATTGTACAGTCAAACCTGTTTCCACCTTTATGTAAAGACCAGCTGTCCTTTGCGACCACCTTCAGGTAGTCACAGTGCAGTTAACCTGATCTGTGTATAAAAGCCACCTGTCTAATGTAACCAGTGACTGCCCTATTGGTGCTTATTTGATCAAATGTACCTGTGTTTAATTAAAGACCAAATGATTGCTTGTTTAGTGTGTTCACACAGACTTTTTCAATTTAATCAAGACAGACAAGCAAATTATTTATTTCTCAGTATGATGGCTGGTCACTATACACAGGTTTGGCTGTATTTAAGCAGTTGCTGTACACTGATTTTACTATATTGGCTGGTCAGTATACACAGGTTTGGCTGTATTTAAGCAGTTACTGTACACTGATTTTACTATATTGGCTGGTCAGTATACACAGGTTTGGCTGTATTTAAGCAGTTGCTGTACACTGATTTTACTATATTGGCTGGTCAGTATACACAGGTTTGGCTGTATTTAAGCAGTTACTGTACACTGATTTTACTATATTGGCTGGTCAGTATACACAGGTTTGGCTGTATTTAAGCAGTTACTGTACACTGATTTTACTATATTGGCTGGTCAGTATACACAGGTTTGGCTGTATTTAAGCAGTTACTGTACACTGATTTTACTATATTGGCTGGTCACTATACACAGGTTTGGCTGTATTTAAGCAGTTGATGTACACTGATTTTACTATATTGGCTGGTCACTATACACAGGTTTGGCTGTATTTAAGCAGTTGCTGTACACTGATTTTACTATATTGGCTGGTCACTATACACAGGTTCAACACTGTATGGTGGTCACTATACACAGGTTCAACACTGCTGGGTGGTCACTATACATAGGTTTGCCTGTGCAAGGTGTGAGCTGAATTAATGTACAACATTCTGTAAACTGCTTCGTTTTGCAAGAGTTAAATTTCTGGAATTTGGCAAGTCAGGAAAAAAGGACAATGTATTTTAATAGTTGCAGTGATCTATTTGTGATACATATGACAATGAGTCCCAGTGTCGTCCATGGAATTTCATTATAAATCACTTTAAATCATTATGTCTCAAAAATTTATTGCAATGAAAAATACTTTACATTAATCTCACCCCATCTTGCACTGGTTTGTAGAATCACTCAATTTTACTCTTAAGGCACTGGTGTGTAGTTTTCACAAATTTTTTAGGCTTACTAGAATTTCTCTGAAGTAACTGTGTATATAAGCAATATGTAGCAAGTATTGGTGATAAATGATGTAGTTTAATATCAAATTTCTGTATTCATGGTTTCAATATTCACGATAGCATTTCACATTGCCAGTAAAGTTTTTATTTTGGAACCCAAACTTGGGTGTTGTGAATCTGTTAATAAAGAAGTATTGCTGAGTTGCATCTGACCTTAATGAGCATCAAAATAGGATTGTGGGGTTTTCTTTTGAGTTGTACTCGCATATTTTGTTTTGTTTTGCCAAGATGACTACTGATTCAAAATTTTATGTTCATCAAGTCATGCAACCATGCAATTGAATGTACGAGGTTAAGAAGATTTGAATCACTGACTATTGTTCAGCAGGACACACCTGCTGTGATTACTTGTGACATCAGGGTTATCAAATCTCTTACGTTGACTGCATTAAAGAATGGAGTGGAAATATTGCAATACGAAACACTGTTTTGCTAATAATGTTAGATGTATTGCTCACATTGTAGTCATTGAATTCTTGTTCCAACACTTGAAGTGTTTCATAGTGCAATATTGCTGTTCTACTCTTTCTAGTTTTATCATCTCAAATACATAACTACCGTTATTTTTTACCTTGCCCGTACCATCAAAGATGGAAGGAAAAGGTATATTAAGGGAAAAATTTTGTCCGGCGTTGTCGTCGTCGTCGTTGTCGTCGTAGTTAATAATTGTTATTGTGTGCATAATAACTTTACTAATTCTATTCCAAACTTTATCAAACTTGGTCACCTTATTCATCAGTATAAAGTCTTCTCTGAGTTTGAACAACAGATGTCCTGTATGAAAATATCATGCAAAAATTGAGAAAATCTGATAAAATATTTTGACTGTTTCTGCTTGACTGATCACTGGTGATACACATCAAAG